CCCAGCCAGACTGTGGGAATGAAAATTTGTGCCATGCCTGAATGTAGGCAGTCTCTTTCTGTGTTGAATCTTGCAGCCTGGGATTCTGTGTACTTGGTATTACGTAGTTTGTGGAGCTAATGAGGCACTGTAATGACAATGCTTTGGAAGTCTATGTGTTTCAGATCTGAAGTATGTGGATATTTGTGGGCTCTCAGGATGAAAAATATGAATGCTGATATTGGAAAACAGTGGCTTGTGTATTGACTGTCTAAAGAGTTGCAAATGCACTGGTTTGCACAGCTGCAGTGACAGTGATTTGAGTTTCACATTCATTTTTGTGCCAACAAGATATTAACTCATATTTATTATAGTCAATTCCAAGTAGTTGACTGTACAAACTGAACTGTGTTGTTGTAGCTGCACTCAACTGCTGCACATTTCTTTTGAAGGCAATTTAATCTGTGCGTGTTGATGGGAATTTTTAAAATTGAAGCATGCTTGATACTGGTTTGAAGACAACATGAAGTACTGTATCTCTAACTAATGAAAAAGTCTAATCAAGCTGTTTTCCATGTGCATTTTATACTTCATCAGACCTACCAATGACCTGAGATACCCAATGAATTCGGAAAAAATGCACAACTTAGGATGGAGACCGAAAGTGGCTTGGAAAGAAGGAATAAAAAAAACAAGTAGGACTGAAGCCTTGTACACTAGTAGATTAAGTGTTGGGAGGATGGACAGGGAGGAAAATGGGTATATAGGTTAGTTAATGAGAAGCTAAAGATAATGAATTGAACATTTTAATTTTGCATAAAATTGGTAGCTTGAAGTAGCTCATGTACGTGATTTAAGAAAAAAAAGGTTAATCACAATACAGTAGCATCAGGTACTAGAATGCATCACATTTTAATGCTCAAAGTCTTGCGTAAAGAATTTATAAAACCTAAACCAGATTTTAAAAAATATTATAGGTTATAATTTTGCATAATGAACTAGTAGCGTGCCGTTAGTCATGATCTGTGGAATATTTAAATTTCCCCTGTTATGGCTGGTCAACTTGACTCATCAGCATTCTCTTCATACTAGTTGAATGGTACAAAGAGAACTTTCACAACTGGAAAAACTCGGAGAAAGCTTTGGAGCCCTTTCCTGTGGCAGAGCCGTTTGCACAGCTCACTGGTCCATAGGGTGGCGAGGAACCCGAAGGAGTTCGTTCTACCTCATACAGCCTTTTCTTCGAAGCCTGCGATCAAGTGGCCACGCTGAACTCTTAATGTATTCAAGATACATAAACCATGGTGGACGCGCAACTACAGCACAGCGCAGCTTTGGGAGGGTTTCAGCACTTTATAAGTCGAACCTGTTAATTTCAGCTTTTGGTGCAATACTATATTCTCACTAGGTTAGTGATTTTTAAAGAACTGTACAGGGTGAAGAATATTTATAATGCTATTAATTAGTGTAACTGATGTCAGATCTGCCTTATTAATTTAGAATAATTAATTGTGATTACAGCTTTTGGGACTTTCAGTGAAATTTGTTTCAGTTCTGAAATCGTTCATATGTATTAGTCTGTTTTTACAGTGTAATATATTATTTTTGTCACTTCAAAGAGTTGCTTTTTATCTTTAATCAAGAGGAAAAATGCCATATTTTCTGGAGAGTGTAAATCAGTTGATAGAAGCCGGATATGGCAGCCACATGGTTCAGTCCTTTCCTCTGTTAGTGCGCTGTTGCCTTCTGTAGATGGCGGATTAAACTGTCATCTACTCTGTAACTTTAAATGCCGCTTTTTTTAAGGGGGTGGGTGGGGGAGAAGGTGTCTCACTGATATTTCCAGAAGCATTTTCTTAAACTTTGCTCTGTTTTGCATGTAGTCTTTTTACTGTATTACTGTCTTTTACATGTTGATTTCATTTTCTTAACTGTAATTGTAACAAACCTGAAATACCGTAACAGAGTTAACATTCCAGTGATGTTATTTCCTGTGATATGGAAGCTCTTTATGGAGTAAAATTTTAAATGCTTCTTTCCCTGTAAGTTGTGGTTGGCACACCTTATTCAGTGCAGCGTTTGACAGGTTTTTTTGGGTGACAAACGTTGTAAAGATGAAGCAATATTTGAGTTTTAACATAAGGTTCGGGAGGAAACCTCAATTGTAGAAATATCTGAATGAATCTTTTTCAAAGTTGATTTAATAATAAAAGTTACAGTGTAACTGGTTTCTGTTATTTAAATAAAGATGTTGAAAAAGTAGATGGTGGGTTGTTTTTTATATTTGTTAATTTTTTCAAGATGCAGGAAGAACTGTCCTCACTTGTTTGCCTTTGACGTGGCAGACCAAGTCTTCTTGGTTTTATCACTTCGGCTTCTGTGCTTGGCACGGTCCCAGACCCCTGTGTTGCCCCTGGGCAGAGCTGCAGCAGCACAGGGCTGGGACGCTGTGGTGTACTCGTAAATTGCTGCGGCTTCTCGGGTCTCTCAGAAACCGGGAGTTGACTCTCAAAACACAAATACGCGCAGAAGTCCTTTCCTTGTTGCTCTGGGTGCGGGAAGAATGGAGCTTGGGCCTGTGCCTTAGCTTTGCCCCTGCTAGAGTTTCGGCTGTAGCGAAGCACCAGAATTTAGTGGTGCTGCCCCAGGGAGCCTGCCGGCAGTGCTGCCCTTGGACCCCTGGTGCGGTGCGTGGAGCTGTTGGCCAAACGCTGCTGTAGGTTGGCAAGCGTCGCCTGAAGAGAAGGCTGGAGGGTAAGCTGGCCTGAGCACCAAGGGTGTGTTCTGAAGCCTGCAGACATGTCGCCGAGGGAGAGTTTTCTGTGGCAAAAGGGGGTGAGAATACTATACTAGAGTTGCATTGCACTGTGTTTTTTGGGTTTCTGATACTTGGTTTGGTAGCCAAAACCTCCGTTTGGGAAAGACAGGAGCTACGGGGCTTCATATGTGCTAGGCTATTAGAATACTTGGCTTACCAGGTACGTAACCTGAAACTTCCACCAACGAATCACTTAAATTTCATTGTCAAATGCACATTGCTGGTAACATTCAAATATTTTCTAAATTTTTATATTTTCTTGTGACACAGCCTTCTTACAGTATGCAAAGAGTTGCGTATCCATCTTACTGTTTTGTATTTTACAAAAGTCAATACCAGAAATAGCTGATGTACTGCAGAGACCTGGTTTAGCTGTTACTTATGCTTGCTGTGGCAGCTGCTCTGAGCGAGCTGCATGAAAGTATGTATCTTCCACATCTGCTTCTGCTGGAATACTTCTAGTGTTATACGTCTTTAATTTTATGAATAGACATTATAGATTATTTTTACTAAATTATTATTTTTAATCTTGCAAGTAGGTGCAGTGTCTTTGAAACGTTAAAAATCAGTTAACTTTTGATGTTACCAGATCAGAAATACACAGAAGAAAGCGGTAGTGTGTGATTGGTTTATTTAATAGATCTTTTGAAAGTTATTTTTAATGTTCATCTGCTGAAAATACAAGCTTTGACGTTTATGTGACTGTCCAAACAAGTGATGTCACTGAGAGTGGATTTTTCAAAAGGACCTGTTAATTTTCAGTGGAAACTGTTCTAGTTTGACTGTTTTTGAATATTTAATCCTTCCAAGTGTTTGAGGTTTTTCGGCTTGGTGTTCCTACTTTTATTTTTATATGTATATAAAGCAGCACATGCACAAACATTTTAAAAAATATTAAAAACATTAATCTAGGAGGCTTTTGCTTGGAGTTACTTTGATGCTGTAGATGAGGTTGCCTTGGCAGGCGAGTGCTCTGGTAGGAGCATTGCTTTCACAGGAAAAAATCTTTTTATTGTGAAAGAAAACAGCTTATTTTGCCATTAACCTTGTGGCTTCTGTAGGTAGAAGAGGACAAAGGATCAACTGGTGAACTGTTAATGTGGAGAAGTGTAATGCTTTTAGGTTTTATTTCTCATGATTTTTGCTTGGAAGATACAAAGAAGCACTGCTGCAGGAGGCCAAGGTAGCGGTGTAATATACTGTGAAGGCAGCAATCTTTGGGTCCGCTTTTCTCAAGGTTTCTGTCACAGAACAAACTGAGGTTACACCAGTAAGAACATAAATGGAGTGAAGGTGCATGTCACGTAAATTGCTAATGCTTGCTAAAGGAGAAGGGCTGGCCTTTGGCGGAGGGTTTCTGCCCACGTTCCATCACGGGCAAGAGGCTCACGACAGGGAAGCCATCTGGGGACAGCTGTCAGTCCCACATCTCTTTCTGGGGTTACTGCTGTGGGTTGGATCAGATCTTCAGGAAGCACCCCCCGAAATCCCGTGTGCCTTGGGGAAAACCAGCATCGCTGCCCTCTTACCTTGGTGCACCAGGCCTGCCCTCCAGCACATCCCTTGCAAGCAGCGAGCGGAAGAATTTGGGAGGCGGTGAAGTGGGCAGCTGGGGCAGGGCTGTCTGCAGCTCACCTGCCCTGCGAGTCGTGGCTGGTGGGGCCCCTGCATGCCTACCAGTCCTGGTTTGTGCGGTGGAGGTAACCCCTGCTTTCTCCAAGGCTTTCCCTGGTCTGGCCTTGGCGCCTGCTTGCGAACGTTTGCGCGCTGCTCGGCGTCAAGGGGTCCCAGCTGCCGCTGAGGCTGGTTTACATTGTCATAACACGACGGACCAGAAAACAGCTTTTCTTTATCCACCCTCTCCTTCACTAGATATAGGAGGAAGGCTGTGGGTGAAAAAGTGGTTTTGTTTTTTTACCCCAATCCCTGTTTCTGGAGGGGTACAAAATAGCACGAGTTCAGTTTCCCATTAGGAGAAAGTCATCAATAGCTTCGGCTGGACTCAGAATGCTCCGTTTCGCTAAAACTGAGTTCCTATGCTCTTCAAATAGCCATGAAATGCTAATATATTTCTACTTTTCAGTGAGAGGAACTTCCATACAAAAAATAAATTTTGTTGAGGGGCAAAAGTGGATGTTTTATTAAATATACTATATCTGAGACTGAATGGTCCTTTTCTTTTTGTTTTGTTTTGTTTCACATTACCTTTAGTTTTTATTTCCATTGCCATTTCCATTTCACTTGGCGAAACAAAGGTTTCTAAAAATAATAGAAATTAGAATAATCTGTTGGTCCATAGTAGCTCTGATTTTTGTGGTAATGTATGAAAAAGTCAGTAGTGTTTTGACTTCTACGCATGCCATTGCGCATTTGGAGTTTGTCGGCGCCAAAGGTCATGAGATTGCTGCTTTGGTAGGAGACACGCTCATTAACTGGTTGCATTCACCATATCTCAGCAAAATAATCATCGCCAGTGGCAACGGAAACTCATGAGAATATGAGATTTTGTACCAGTATGTTGTTAGCACACCTCTTCAGTACAATGGTAGGGAATTTATTTTCCAGCCTCTCCCCAACTGCAGAGTTTTTGTTGAAGAGTTTTTGTTTTCGATCACTAAGTAAGTGCTGGCCCGGTCCTCAGCATTTCAATTTCTGCAAATACACTTTGTGCCTGGTCTGCAACTTGCAGCTCCTGAAGAAAGGTGGCTGCTTACAAAAGACTTCCAGAAGCGGGATAACTTGAGGAAAAAATAGAGTTTGTTTGAAAATAAAAGGAAACATGGGATATGTGTCACCAAATATTCATAGGGCCAGTGTGGGAAAAGGCTGCTTCTTCCACATGTGGAAAAAGAGGGATTTATTAAACTCCCCTATTACTGTAAAACAGAGAGAGGTTCGTTTGACGTTTTTTGACCAAGCAATGAGAAGCAGTGGGCAAATCTGCAAAGCAGCGTTTCTCCCCACGCGGCACTCAGGGAGCATGAACAGGCGATGCTCTCGCAGGCAGCTTTTTCTAGAGCTGTGGGATGTGCAAATAAACTCAAACTTGGCAGCGCCACGTGTGCTGATGTGTCCTCTGCCTTTGCCCTGTAGCCACAGGAGTGCGGTAACAGTCGCCTGTCAAAATAAATGCCTGATCCACAAAAAGCAATTTTTTTTCTTAGAACAGTGCTTAGTCAGGCTTTGTGGTTTATGCAGAGGCGTAATGCTCCCCTGTGGAATGTGCATCTCCAAGCAAGACCACGGAAAAATGCGGATGGAGGTGCCCTTTCTGTTCGTGTTTTACTTGTGGTACAGTAGCTGTGTACAGAATTTGTCAGACTTCTAAATAAAAAAAATGAAAACTGAAGCAAAAATACTGCCAATGCAGTGCTC